TTCAAATCTATAACTATCCATTTAGAATGATAACTTAGATGTCATCAGATTATATAATAGATGGATAGTTAGCTTTAAAAATTATTTAATAACATGATTATTAATATTTAAAAACACTCTGTAAAACTTGCAACAAATATCAGGATTATTGATATTCGTTAAAATGAAGTAATCATATTTATTTAAAATTAAAAATTAAATCATATTCAAAAAGTATAAACTTTTAAATAAAAAAATTATACAAATACTATCAACCATAATTTATATTTTTCATGTTAAATTATAAAAATTTCTAAAGTCTTGTTTAGCACTATACCATGACGTAACTGGTCGCATCTATGTATGATATTTCGTATATTTGTCGATATCTTAAAAATCCCTTGACATTTATTCTCTATGTATAAGTGAGTGGTTCAAAAACTTTTGTTAATTATATATATATATATATATATATATATATATATATATATATATATATATAAAACCATTATTTTAAATTTCGTCAATTAAATTCTCTAATCATTATTTTATAGTGATCATTAATTACCTTAAAAGATTTAATTATTTAAATTTAAAATAATTGAAGGTTCAATTAGTTTAAATTAAAAATTAAAAACTAAATTCACATTTGTAAAACAATTGATGATCTAAAATAATGATTTTCCCTTAAAACTAAGGATGGTAATTTGTGTCATAATTCAAGCAATTTAAAGATAAATAGAAGTTGTTATGTATACCTAATGAGCTCCTTCTGAAGAGCGCCGCCCTGCTTGGTGCGGCGGTGGGAGGTGGCGCCGAAGCCGGTGGTGACACCATAGCTATCAGTGCCTTTGCCCATGCTCTCCATCACCCAATCACTGCTAGCCTTAACGCCGGCCCGAGCCTCCTCCGACAGCTCCACCGTGACGGCATTATTATCGCGGGAGGCGATAGCCGCCACCTGGGCCACCGTCAGCGTCTCGCCGCCGAGCTTCACCACCGGCTTCCTGAACTCCGCCACCATCCGCTTCACCTCCTCCAGGTGGCTCCCCTTCACGGCCTCCGCCGCCGCGCCCCAATTCAACGGGTCCACTTTCACGCAGAACTCCATAGCTTCCTTCTTCTGGTGGGTTCCGTTTTGGACTATAGCGGCCATTATGTTTTTTCTCAGGGACTGTGGTGAAATGGTTCAAGAAATGTTAGGGGGAATAATGGGATTTGGAGAAAATTGAGGGATTGAGAGATGAGAAGATGAGGGAGGTATATATATATATATATATATATATATATATATATAAAGATGCAGGGGAGAGAGAGATCGGTGAGGAATATGGCTATGGGATGGTAGCGAGGTAGGTAAGGGCTGTGGTGCAAATAAAGACACCAATTTTGTTAGGTAAGTGTAAAGATGGAAGAGGAAGACAGATACCAACGTAATGGAGGAGACTTCCAATTTGGGGTAGTTGGGAACAACTTTGGGAGATTAATCTTGGCCGTTGATCTAGAGGGGAATTGAAGATTTTGTAAACGTTGATGTAACATGCAATATAATGTGTGTGTGGTGTGTGTCTATTTTTTTTAGGGGTTGGTTGAGTGGAAATTTTGTGTTTATACATGTCAGAATCTTGGTGAAGTTTTCACAACATTTAAGATGTTTTAATTTTAATTTGGATAATGGTATAGAGATCAAAATTTTCTTTAAGTGTCAATAAATTATTTTATTTTTTATCTATTGGTTATCGATTATCATGAATTAACTGATACATCCCCCATTAAAAAATAAATGTACTTATTAATCAAATACGAATTATATATTGTTATATCAATATATAATGAAATATTTTTTTTTTATCCTTATAGCATTATCCTTTTAGTTTTGACATTTTTTTGTGTGATGTAAAATAACTATGATTAAGTGTATAATTTTTTTTTTTTTTTTTTTTTTTGAAAATAAGTGTATAAATATGATTAAGGGTATATTTTGAAGAGTAATGAGATTAGAGCGATTATAACGGTAGCGTAAGATTGGAGCAATTGAAAGGATAAATTTCTTTATAAAAATTATTGAAGAATACTTAAAGCAATAAACCACTCTTGTTGCGTTTCGGCCTATCAACTCGTTAGTTGTTTCGCGTTGTCTGTATGGTAATAACTCGAGTTTTGTATGCATGTGTATACGTGTGTAGAATAAAGCAATAAAATGGGAGAAGGAGAAGAAAACAATTGAGCACTACAACCATGTAACTATGTAAGTGTGTAGTCTTTCATTCACCGGAAAATTATATCATGCACCACGGTGCATGATCAATCATGCACCGCGTGTCTTTTTTTAAATGAAAAGAAACGGTGTTTGTTTTCTGCTGTTTCGCACCCTTTTGCAAAAAGTAACCCTGTTATTCAGTGTCATTTTGTATACACTGCAGTTTCAGTTCAACACAACTACAGTTTCAGTTTGATATAACTATAGTTTCATTCGATATTTATAGACTCAAATATGTGAAAATTTTATTTAATTTTATTTTATATACACTATAGTTTCATTAAAACACAACTACATGATCATTTTGATATAATTACAGCTTCATTGTACAATATACACCCAAATATGTGAAATGTTATTCATCTTCATTTTGTATACACTGCAGTTTCATTTCACTATAACTACAGTATCATTTTGATATAACTGCAGTGTCGGTTTAGATATACTGTAGTATCAGTTGGTGTTTAATACACCAAACAAGCGGACTCCGTTAACTATAACGGCGGGCCGTTTCTTTTACTTAAAGAAACGGCGCCGTTTTTTACCACGGTGCACATGCACCGCGGTCTATGATATAACGACTGCCATTCGCCTTCACTCACTTATATAGTGATCATATAGAACATTTCAAGTACACAACATCAATACATGATTAAAGGCTAAGCTAGTGAAAGGTCTAATAGTTTAATGACCATAAATATAAATTGAGTTATTACTCATTTTGGTCCCTCAACTATTAGCTAATACGCAATTTAGTCCCAAACTATTAAGACTACCGAATTTAGTCCTCTAACTTGTGAAATCATACCCAATTTTGTCTTCCGTTACAATTGTCATCCATCCACCCTTAAAGAAAGGGGCAAAAACGTTATTTTATCATAATTGAGGGACCAAAATGAGTATTAACATAATCGAGGGACCAAAATGGGTATTATTATTATTATTATTATTATTATTATTATTATTATTATTATTATTATTATTATTATTATTTGATATTGGGACTAATATGTAAAATCTCTATAAATTATTATTATTATTATTATTATTATTATTATTATTATTATTATTATTATTATTATTATTATTATTATTATTATTATTATTATTGATATTTGATATTGGAACTGAATATATAATCTAATATGTAAAATCTCTATAAATTCGTAATGTTGTTATTGTATATTTTCTCATGGAGTTATTATTATATGCATTGTTTTAATTAAATTTATTATTATCTGTATTATTTTTAGGATTTAAAACTTTAGCTTTAAAAAGTTCAGTTAATTGGTTAACCGACCGATTAACCCAAAAAAAAAAAAAAAAAATTCAATTTGGTTAATTCGGTAATACAAAGTTCAGTTCAGTTAACAGTTAAATTTTTAAAAATTTCGGTTAAAACAGTTCGGTTAACCGACTGCACACCCCTAGTCTTGATATACAAAACTAAACTAAGAGCAACCCTATCTATTATTTTTTGTTGATTTTTGTAGGGTCGAATATGAGTTGCAGGATAGAGAAGAAAGAGAGAGAGTGTGCATTTTAAACTCCTGAGTGATAATGGTTTTTGTGGGCCCCAAGAGGGAGAAAAAAAATAGAGAAAAGACCTTGCATGATTTTTTGTGGTACATTTTAGTTATTAAAATAATAGGTAGTAATATGGTGGCAGGAGACACCAATGTCAAATATAATAATAATAATAATAATAATAATAATAATAATAATACCCATTTTGGTCTCTCGACTATGTTAATGCCCATTTTGGTCCCTTGACTATGATAAAATGACGCTTTTGCCTCTCTCTATAACGGTGGATGGATGGCAATTGTAACGGAGGACCAAATTGGGTATGATTTCACAAGTTAGAGGACTAAATTGGGTACTTTTAATAGTTTGGGACTAAATTGCGCATTAGCTAATAGTTGAGGGACCAAAATGGGTATTAACTCATATAAATATTTACAACACTCCCCCTTGGCCATTAAATAATTATACTCGTGCCTCGTTAAAAATCTCGCTAGAAAAACCCTGTGGGAAAAACCTAGTCGAGGAAAAGAGTACATGTAGTATAAAGTATGGGTTGCATCGGTTGCCTCGTTAAAAACCTTGGCCTAAGAAAACTCAGTGGGAGAAAGACTTAGCTAAGGGAAAAAGAGTACAACTGTAAGCCTTCCGGGCATCATCTTCCAGATTTAAACTTTAGAGTTTGTCGCTCCCCCTGAAAACAACAGTCTTCCTAGCCTTCGCATCCCAATTTTATAAACGTACTTCTCAATGGTGGATGTAGGCAGGGTCTTAATGAACAAATCTGCCAGATTTTCACTAGAGCGAACCTTTTCAATGAGTATCTTACCACTCTTCTAGAATTCATGTGGGTAAAAGAATTTAGGAGCGATATGTTTAGTAAGGTCTCCTTTTTTTTTTTTTTTTTTTTTTGAAGGCAAACCAATGTGGTTATATTAGAGATAAACCGAAATAGAGTCAAGAGGGACAGAGTCCCAATACATAGCCGTAGTCTGATCAAAAGCTGCGGATGCTAAAGTATGAGCTAATAAATTCTGCGATCTAGGAACAAAATTAACAGAGCAGGTAAAAAAAGTAGACATGCTAGCTTTGCAGCTATGAATAACATATCTATGATCGAGGCGGAGTCCCTGGTGAGGATAAGTAGCATTTCAACGTATGGCAATCTGTATAAAGTTGGATGGCCTGTTCACCACGCGCTCGTAACCATGATAACGCTTCTTTGCACGCAACTGCTTCAGCCATGAGGGGGGGATAAACAACTTGGTAAGGGGATGCTGAATGCCGCAACGTAGCTTCTGTCCTCGTCGAGCAAAATTGCACCCACTGTGGCCGAATTTACGGAATGATGATATCTGGCGTCAACATAACACCTCCTTGGCCGTGCAGTAGCCGCTTTCACCATAGCTGTAGATGTCGAGGCAGCAGCGTCGGGTGGCAGCGGCAGTGGGAGGCCGGCGGTATCGGCTGCAGCAGTGTCGTCGGCCATCCTTGCGGCGGTTGTGCAGTGGACAGCTCGCCATGCTTGCATGTTGGCAACTGTCATAGTAATTAGCTTCCCGGGCAACGGTAAACAGGCATCCCAAACCGCTCCATTTCGTGCTCTCCAGATGTGATATAGTATTGCAGCTGCATATATAATTTCATTAGTGTCTAGAACATTTAAGATTGCACTAAACCACTCATGGAAAACATTTGTCACAATATTGGGGATTGGAAGGTTAGATCAGGCCCATATGGAACTTGCATAACCACACGTTACTAATGAGTGCATAGTGTCCTCTTGCATGATTCCACACATGGCACAAGTTGGATCAACATCCACCCTCTTTATAAGCAAATTGGTGGTAGTGGGAAGGATATTACTTATAGCTCTCCATAAAAATGTCTTCCATTTTGGGGGTATTTTTAGCTTCCATAGGGTAAGCCATTTATCAAATTCCCCATTATTGCTACTTGTATAATTTCCAATAATTTGCCTGCAACCGTTCTTTACAGAATAGCATCCGTTCAGGTCCCCATGACAGTACTATACATCATCATACTCTGGAGAAACTGGTATCTTTAGAATTCTAGGCACGTCACTTGGTTGGAAGATATCAACTACAATTTGAGGGTCCCAAGTCCCAGTATCCTGATCAATCAATCCTTCCACTTTAGCTCCTGATAACTGGGGTGGCATCTCCATATGGATCATAGGGTCTAAGTGCTCCCATATTAAGGTAGAATTTTCATTCCCAATACGGCGTCTCACCCCACCACATACCATATCTTTAGCTGCCATAATACTGCGCCAACAATAGCTTGGATTATTTCCTAAGGATGCTTCAAAGAAAGTCTGATTAGGATAATATCTTGCTTTATAAACACGGGATACTAAAGAGCCAGTGTTAGTAAGCATCCTCTATGTCTGTTTACCTAGCATTGCCAAATTAAATGCTCACAGATCTTTGAATCCCAGACCTCCATATTTCTTTGGGATACACAATCTATCCCATGCTTTCCAGTGAATGCCCCGGTCAGTACTTGATCCCCCCAATAACGATTCAGTACTCGTTTAATGGCTGTGCAAACAGATATAGGTAGCAAAAAAACCCTCATTGAAAAAGTAGGCATAGCCTGAGCTACACTTTTTCAATAGGATATCTTTCCCCGCCTGTGACAGTAGTTTCTTATTCCATGACCCAATTCGCTGCCTGATTTTATCCTCAATATACGCAAAAACTGCTTTCTTATTCCTCCCAACAAATGATGGCAAGCCTAGATATTTTCCAAAATTAGGAGCCCGGACAACTCCTAAAATCTGTGCCACTTCCTCCCTACATGTATTCTTACTATAGCATATACTGGATTTATTATAATTGACCACCTGTCCTGACAATTTCTCATAAACAGATAAACAGTTCTTAATCTCTGTAGCTTCCTGCATATTAGCGTTGAAGAACAATAGGTTATCATCTGCAAAAAATAAGTGTGAGATCTGGGGGGGGGAGGGGGGGGGGAGGGGGGGGGGGGCTTAGCAACCCTGCACCCATGAATCAAGCCATCATCTTGTGCCTGCTGTAGTAACAAAGAAAGCCCATCCGCACAGATAATGAACAGATAGGGGGATATGGGATCACCCTGCCTTAATCCACGCGTGGGCGTGACCGGATTACTCCTGGATCCATTAATTAGAAAATTATAGGATACAGTAGAAACACACATCATAATTAGCTCTACCCACCTATCATCAAAGCGCAGTGCCATAATCATTCCTCGTAAAAAGGGTCACTCAATTCGGTCTTAAACTTTGGCCATATCCAATTTTAGGACTCCCCAACCAACCGCCCCACATTGCTTCCTATTCAAGAAGTGCCCTACCTCTGCAGCTATTAGTATATTATCTGTGATAAGTCTATCAGGTATAAAAGCACTTTGTGACTCAGATATAATATTCTCCATGATAGGTTTCATCCTGTGAGTAATCATTTTAGCCATAACTCTGTAAACCACATTACTCAAAGCTATTGGCCTTAGATCAGTGACCAGTTCAGGAGTATTTTTCTTAGGAATTAGCACAACATCCGTTTCATTTAAACCAGGGGGAAAGGAACCAGAATTTAAGCAATTCACTATAAAATTTGAAACATCCCCACCCACCACATCCCAGAAGTGCTGATAAAAACCCGAGTTCATTCCATCCGGGCCAGGGACTTTTTCCAAGTACATTGCAAACAGAGCATCTTTGACGTCATCTATCTCAAAGGGTCTAAGTAACATTTCATTTTGAGCCTGGGTAACCCGTGATGCCACTTTCTCAAACAAATAATTTCCGTTGACAGGATTACCAGAACAAAATATTTTATCAAAATAATCCAGAATAATGTTCCTCATTGCATTTCTTTCCACCCAATCCCCACTATCATTCATAAGTCTAGATAAACTATTCTCTTTTCTACGGTGAGAGGCATACCTGTCATAGAACTTTGTGTTGGCATCGGCGTTCTTAAGCAGTGCTGCTTGGCTCTCTGTCTCCAGTAAACATCCTCTTGAGCTTCCATACTACTCAATTTCGTCTCCAAGTGTTGGAACTCAGCTAATGAGGCTGTGTCAGTGAGTCCTCTGATGTGCAACTGCTCTTTGCGTAGATTCATGATCTGTTCTCCAAACTTATGAAAACGATCATCGCCCCACCTCGACAAACGATCTCCACAATAAAGAATACAATCCTGAAAGCCCATATTTCTCCCATCTTCCCACGCCGTTTCCACCACCCCTCTGCATCCCTCATCATGCAGCCATGCCATCTCAAAATGGAAACCCCTTTTTCTTCTACCTCCTTGTCTACTATGGTCATGGATCCCTAGGAATAAGGCAGAGTGGTCTGATTCCCTTGTCAAAAAATTAGTCACACTAGCCCCACGCACAACACCACACCAACTCTCCGTAGCTAGTACCTTATCCAGTCTTTCCTCAATCCAGTTCACCGTCCCTTTTCCTTTTTCCCAAGTAAACTGGTACCCATTCATTGGTAGCTGAGATAATCCACACTATTGAACAACATCCCCAAAACCATGAAGGAGGTTGTCTGGATGCGGATTACCCCCTCGTTTCTCATACTGAAACAGGAGATCATTAAAGTCGCCCACCATAACCCATGGTAGGTCATATCTTGGTGCTAACAAGTTAATTAACTCCCATGCTTCATGCCGCCTGTTGAGGTCCGGATAGCCATAGTAACATGTCATACGCCAATTTGGAAAACCAGTGATACTAACCTCCACATCAATATGATTCCTCGAAAAACTCATGAGCCTTACCGTGTTATTCTTCTTCCACAGCAAAGAAAGTCCACCACTCAATCTAATATTATCAACAAAAAACAACCCATCAAAACCAAGTTTGACATGAATACGTTCAGCATGTATACGTCCCACCTTAGTTTCCATGAGAAAAACAAAATCCGGCTTCTTACGTGACACAAGGTCAACGACTTCGCGAACTGTTCGTGGATTGCCTAAGCCACGACAGTTCCAGATGAGGGTACTCATGATGATGGGCGGGTCTGGGAACCAGAACCCGCCATAGACAAGTTTTTTGAAACCTCTGTCATTGCAATATCACGATTCGTATCCTCTGTGCATGCTATCCTCATCTGCCTCCCGCCTCTTCTTTGTCGCAGCCACTACAAACGGCTCGTGCCCCCGCCGGCCAGGATCCGAGCACACCGCAACATCGGCGGACGGTCCTCCTGGCAGTCTAGAAGCTACGGTCGCCGCCGCTTGTACCGACTTTCCATCCTTGTCAAGCAACCACGGCGCACCCACTTTGCGCGGTCCCCTTCTCTGCCCGGCACGCAGCTCATCAGTATAGGGATATTGGTCTACCGATAAGGCCGATTCCCGGGCCTTCAAGCAATACCTGTACAACTGTCCAAGCATACCATAGAAAAAGCAAAAATTATGCAGCCTCTCATACTTAAAATTCACCCACCAAGGTGTCTTATCTCGTTTCAAAAGCTTCATACGTCGCTAGAGCGGTTTCATAACAGGGATAGAAACCCTAATACGGTAGAACGTTTTCCATGGAGCATTAGCAAACCTGTCACCAATCTGAACAAAGTTTCCCAGAAAATTCCCAACTTGCTCTGAAATCACATCAGAGGTATATCCTAGCGGAAGTTCATGAACCTGCACCCACATATCAACTGTATCAAGAGCAATTGTAACAGGAACTACACCATCCCGGACCTGCCTGCATATTAAGGTGTGATTCTCGAATGACCACGGGCATCCGTCAAGAATGTGTTGCATCTCGGTTTCATGATAGAAAACGAATAAGAATAGCCCCGGTTGAATTTCTGTCACCTGCAAACCCGTTACCGGTTGCCACACCGAAGCCATAACCTGACTCATAAACTCGAGTTTAATAATCTTCGTCGTCAGAAACCTCCCCACCATCCTCCACATCTCCTCCGCCGGCACTGCTTCCTCGCCGATCGCCTCTTCCGCCGGTGCAAAGACCTCGTCTTCTTCTAGAACCATGTCGGCCCATCGTCTCGTCAGTCCCTCCACGACTCTCGTCGACGCTGCTGCCTGCATACTCAGTAACCAAGGAAGAAAATCGGCGCTTCGCCGTAGAGAAGAAACATATGATGATCTGCAAACCACCTCGGCGCTCCAAGGAGAAAGGCAGAATAGAACCCTAGAGAGAAATTTTATTTTAGTAAGGTCTCCTTTAACGTACCCATTACTCATCTGTGCAACACATGCTACATTGTCCTCATATAGGATAGTCGGGGAAACAACATTGCTCATTGTTCCGCATGAGCGATGAATATGCTGTATTAGTGATCTCAACCATACGCATTCGTGTGCGGTTTCATATAAAGCAATTATCTCCGAGTGATTAGATGAGGTAGCAACTAAGGTCTGTTTAATGGACCTCCAAGATATAGTTGTACCTCCACAAAGGAAAACATAATCAGTTTGCGATTTAGCAGTATGAGGGTCAGACATATAACCAGCGTCTGAATACCCCGTCAAAGTAGTGTCCTGGTTGTTTTCAAAATAAAGACCAAGGTCTTTTGTCCCTTGGAGATATCTAAAGATATGCTTTATTCCACTCCAATGTCTTCTGGTTGGAGATGCACTAAATTAGCATGTAAATTCATCGAGAAAGCAATATCCGGTCTAGTGCAATTAGCCAGATAAAGCAAGGCTCCAATAGAACTTAGGTAATGAACTTCAGGTCCTAGTATGTCCTCATTATCATCCTTAGGTCTAAATGGGTCCTTTTCCGCTTCAAGGGATCGGACTACCATTGGAGTGCTAAGGAGATGAGATTTATCCATATAGAATTTCTCCAATAATTTATTAACATAGTCAGCTTGGTGAATGAAAATTCTATTGGGGAGATGCTCGATCTGCAGGCCGAGACAAAACTTGGTTTTTCCTAAGTCTTTCATTTCAAATTCTGCCTTTAAGCATGAACATGCTTCTATAAGGTCTCTCTTTGTCCCAATAATGTTCATGTCATTGACATAGACAGATATAATACAGAAATCATTAGATGACTTCTTAATGAATATACAAGGGCAAATATAATTTTTAACATATCCCTTCTTTAGGAGGAATTCACTCAAATGGTTATACCACATTCTCCCAGATTGCTTCAAGCCATATAATGGCCTTTGAAGTTTGATGCTATACATGTTTCGATATTTCTCCCTGATATTGGAATTTTGAATAACCTCGGGTATTTTCATGTGTATATCAGCATCTAGTGACCCATAAAGGTAAGCTGTCACTACATAGTACATCCATCAACTGCATATCAAATTTCATGTTTACTGCCAGTGATATTAAATAGCGGAATGAAATGCCATCAATAACAGGAGATTATGTTTGATCAAAATCAATTTCGGGTCTTTGCGTGAACCCTTGAGCTACCAATCTCACTTTATATCTAACCACCTCATTGTTTTAATTCCTCTTCTGTACAAATAGATCACATCTTTTGGGGTAAGTACGGTGGGACCAAAAACTTTTCTTTGATTAAGCGAGTTGAGCTCTGCCTCAATTTCCTGTTTCCACTTCAACCAGTCAGAGCGCTTTCAGCACTCAGTTATTGACTTTGGTTCTGGATCCAGATTATTTTGTGGAATATTACAGGCAACTCCATAGGCAAAAGTGATGCCGACGACTATTAAATCTCTGTTATATGTTTCTCCTGTATCAACAAAATTTATGGTCGTTTCTATATTGACATCAACCAGATCATCGTCATTTCCCAAAATATTCTGATCTGGATGTTCCGCATCCCCAGTGTTTATATTATTTAGAGCACGTGCAGGTTCACTGGGTTCTCCGTCTTCGGGACGACCGTCTTAAGGATGGTTAACATTGTTTTGGAGTGACTGAGATATTTTACCAATTCTCATCTTCCGCGGATTTAAATCTTTTGCACCAAGTGGTCTCCTGCGCTTCTGGCGATGAGGAGTGTCAGTGTGCATACTTGGTCCCTTGGGGACTTAAACTCTCGAAGGACCATTCACAGCAGGGTTATCAACAAAAGCATCTGGCATATTATTTGCTAAATTTTGTAAATTAATAATTTTCTAAACTTCTAGTTCAGTTTGACTAGTACATGGGTCTAGGTACTGAAGATCATTTTCATCCCATGAAATTTCTCGGCATTTCGTTAAATAAGGTATTTTATGTCCCCCTAATGCCAAGAAATGATCTTCATAAAAAATGCAGTCAGCGTACCTCGCGGCAAACTGATCTCCTGTCATGTGCTCTAGGTATTTAATGATGGAAGGAGATTCATAACCAACATATATACCTAGTTTTCGCTGTGGGCCCATGGTGGTACGGTTTGTAGGTGGTATGGGGGTATAAACTAAACACCCAAATACACGCCGATGGGAAATGTTAGGTTCTACACCACGTAGTAGTTACAAGGGGGAATAATCATGATATGCACTGGGCCGGATTTGTATTAAAGCTGCAGCATGTAATACTGCATGTCCCCAACATGAGACCGGTAAATCGAACTTCTGCAATTTAATACGCTTAATCAGAGACTCAGCCAAGCCATTCTGAGTATGGATATAAGGTACATGATGCTCCAATTTGATTCCCAAGGCCATACAATAATCATTTTGAAAACCGTTGACGTGAATTCTCCAGCATTATCCATTCTTATTGAATTAACGGGATAATCTGGGAATTGGGCATTCAACTCAATAATTTTCGCAACAAATTTGGCGAAATCTTTGTTCCTCGTGGACAGTAGACTAACATGAGTCCAATGAGTGGAAGCATCAATAAAGACCATAAAATATCTAAGTGGTCCAGAAGGTGGACTAATAGGTCCACAAATATCGCCCTGCAATGTCTGCAGAAATATAGGCGATTCATGTCCAACCTTAGTACGCGATGGGTGTATAATATATTTACCTTTCGCACAAGGCACACATGTAAACATATTTGGCTAAAGTACCTGAGATCTCGACAGGTTATGTCCAATAGAATTAGATATGATCCGACCCATCATATTCTGCCCAGGATGACCTAGATGGTCATGCCACATTTGAAAAGAATGTGGATTTTTGAGTTTCATGGTTAGTGCAACAAATGAATCATTGGTTGTATATAGGTATAATATAACCCAGAAGATAAGGAGGCAAGTTCCTCAACCTCCCGCTTTTGACTAGTGATCAATTGAGTCATGATTAAGAACTCCTCTTTGTTCTTAGTCTTGGTTTCAATATGGAAACCATTTGAACGAATATCCTTGAAACTCAGCAAGGTTCGTTTAGATTGAGGGTACAACAAAGCATTTTCAATTAGTAGCTTTGTACCCTTAGGGAGGATGATGGATGCTCTTCCGGAGCCTACTATTTGTACCTCATCATTAGTAATGGTAGAAATACTACTACTTGATTTGTTTAAGGTACGAAAAAACCTCATATTTGTTAGGATAGTATGCGTGGTTGCACTATCAACCAAGCACAATGTTGGTT